CAGCCTGTCTCCAGAGCAGAGGTGCTCCAGCCCTCCCATCATCTCCGTGGCCTCCTCCGGCCCCGCTCCAGCAGCTCCATGGCCTTCTTGTGCTGCTTGACCTCAAGAATCCATTTCTGACCCCCCCGGAATCAGCCCCTCGGCCCCGACGACGCGATTTCTGCGAGCGCTCGGCTGCGCCATCAGCTCAAACGCACCAGGTGGGAAACGAGACTTCAGGATTTCCTAGGGAATCGTGTCCGTTGGGACGGAATCAGGCTCCAGCTGCCTTCCCAATGCTCCATGCTGGCACAGACCAGCGACAAAACACCCGCTGATGCCTTCAGGAACCACAAACACTCCCCGGCAACACCCGGAGGTGGATGGTGCCGCGTTGCCGTGTTTCTGGCGTGGGAATAAGCCTGAGTCTCACTCTAACCCTACTTAGACCAGTGAAAAAGCCTCCAGTAAGCACATCCCGCAGAGTTACTGGTAGCCAAGACCACCTCTTTGTGTGGCACAGAGCTTCCCTGCTGAAAATCCCCTTTTTTCGACCCGAAAATAAGACCTTCCTGCACAAAAGGGTCACGTTTTCCCTGGAAAACGAAGCTCCTGGGGAGTCACCTCTTGCCACATCCACCGCCAAAGCCACGGAATTCCGCTGCTCAAAGCCACGCGTGGGTTACCTGCGATAACCCACGGCACCGACGGATGATTCCTGCCTTCTCCTAGGGAATCCCTCATCCCAGAGCTCCCCACTGAAGCTCCAAGCGGACTAAACTCAGGAAAAAATTCCAGCAAACCACGGTGGGGGATTGCAACGGCAGCGCTGCGTGGTGGGAAGCTCCGACCTGGTGGCAAACAGCCCAAATTCCCGGTTGCCATCCCAACCAACAGCCCGGAGCGGCTAACTCCAGCCAGCCCCGGAGCTCAATCCCTCCAGGATGCTTTGGCCACGGTCGTTCCGGCAAAGAAGGGTCTGCACGGACCCTCTTTCCGCCCCCACCTCGAGCAAACGTGCAGAGCAGCCAAGGATGCTTCGACCACGGTCGTTCCGGCAAAGAAGGGTCCGCACGGACCCTCTTTCGCCCCCACCTCGAGTAAACGCGCAGAGCAGCCAGGCTGACGACCACCATGTCCTGGGAATGCTCTGGAGCCGCTCAGCGGGGAAATCTCTCCCTGCAAAGCACAAAATCCCACTGGGAGCACCAGCCCAATGGACAACATTCCTCCCCGGGACCACCGTGGCCCCACCGAGGGGACCACCATGGGAC